TACATTGCTTCCGATTGTGAGTTTAGCATCAACAAAAGCAAAAACTCTCTCCCAATTCTTCTTTTCTTTCATGCTTGTCTCGTGTATTTCTTCCCATCTACAATTCTCGTCCATCTTTCAATCATGTTTCTTGAGACAAGTTCTTTCCTTCTTGTCTCTTTTTCATGATTTTCTGCTCTTTCTCTGTCGTCCTCCATGGTTTCAAATGGTCTTAGTGTAGAAAATATGTTAGAATTACAAAATTTTTATCACATCCCAGAAGAGATTTCGGTGATCACTACTGGTCCGAGGGTGTTTCCTCCTCTTGGCTACATGTGAGTTTGGGAAAAGCATTTTGCTTGTGGTTTCAGGATTCTGTCTACCCCTTTTCAAAAACAAGTCCTCCAACGTTATAAGTTGGAGGTTCATGAAATAGTTTCCAACTCTATTAGCTTAATAGTAGGATTTGAGCTCATCTGTAGACTAGCCAGTGTCACCTATGTTACATTGGCCATAATTTCAAAAATTTCAAGCGTGGTTTCTGACTATTGCAGTAGCTCTCATTTGGTTTAAAAAATTACACCTACCTCCCCTATCATTAGCATTTCAGTAACAATAGAGAACCAGTATATTAAATTTGTTCTCAAAAATTCTAAAATACCCCTTTGTTAGATAGAAGGGGAGAAAATCTCGCTCATGAATTTCTTCCATGTTGCAACTATTCCTAATAGCATAACTATCACCCTAATGAATTTAATAAGTCACCTCAACTTAATCCCCATATTCTTACAATTTTGACAGTCCACCTTTACCACCTCAAAGCTTTCTACGCAAATCAATTATGACACTTAAAGATTGCATTCAACCTAATCTTTAACCTAAATTTTTTTGCTTAAATATTTAGCGTTGGAATTGACCAATGTCACTATCCAAACTCAATCTAAATAGCTGTAACCTTGTTGGCGCTAAAATAATCTAACCCACCAAGAATACCAATACAGAGCAATCAAAAACAATACTAGAGACCACATCCCAATGTCTCTAAAAAAAATCTCATTACAGTTTTTATATCCTAAAATTCTTTTTGACAGAATTGGCATAATAGCATAACTTTCCTCAATCCATGTTTCTTTTTTAGCCATCACTTTTATTTTCTTGTTTGTACTCTGTATCACCGCCATCCTTTTTATCTTCATTTAATTTGGTAACAAATCTATTTCGGTAGCTTGTTATTTGGCAATTTCAATTCAAAAATGCTTACAAAAAAAGAAAAATAAAAAAGAGAGAGGATCTATTTCCATGATAATAAGGATTTGCAATGTGTTAGATGATTGTGTAGATGACGGCTATGAAAAAAGATTGGGTTATGAGATAAAGGAAAGAGAATATATGAGAGAGAGTCAAAAGAGAGAATAAGAGTTTGTTTTGTGTGGCAGCCATTGCATTAGAGTGACCGACTAGTTGTAGTTGTAGGGTTTTTTTTAGAAATTATCTATAAGTGAAGGATATTATAATCATATTACTGCATAAAGAAACATTAGTGTAATTATTCAAAACTAAAAGGAGGTGAGTGAAATTGTCAGAAACTTCAGGGGAGGTTTCTAAAATTATCCCTTATTTCTAGAGGAAAATGGGGAAGCATGAGGGGACTTTCATTTTTCTCTTGATCTCGGAGGAAGATATTCTTCTCAAAGAACACTAATCTAACTCCAGAAGAAGAAAATAAATTATTTTATATTGACAGTACTCACGTCCCTCATATCCCCTGAGATCGAGCAGTGAAGTCATTAGTACTATTGCCAAAGGAGCAGGAATATGATAGAAAAATGCACGCACTTTAGACTATCTCAATCAAATTCTTCATATGTCCCTTCTCCCCCCGAGCTGGTTTTGGTTGAGGCTGGACTGAGCCTAGCAATGCTAGGAGACGATTATCAGGACATTATCGTAGATGTCATTACATGTAGCTTTTACTTTCCTTAGATTTTTCCTCTACTATTGTATACTTTGCCTTCATTTGTTAACCTCATTGCTTGAACTTAAAAGATGAAAATAACTGAAAAGGCTATCCACAACAGAGTTAGCCTTTCGAAAACAATATTGGAATGAAAGCACGAAACCTTCCAATGACCGAATCTCTCTAATATAAGCCAGCAAAGAAAAGGGCATGACATAATTACCCTTCAAAATTTCAACCAATCTTGGAAAATTTAATTCAACAATAATGTGAGATAAACCAAACTGCTTGCATAACCAAAGTCCAAGAAGAAGTGCTTCAGTCTCAGCCATTATGGAAGAAAGTGTCCTCAAGATATCTAGAAATGCAAACAAACACTTCCCATCAGAATTACAAACAATACCACCCCCATCACCGCTCCCAGGATTACCATTTGAAGCTCTATTCGTGTTCAATTTTACTGACAATGCAATTGGTGAACTCCACTGTACCAATAAACAAGACAAACTCGGAGAAAATGAATGTACAAAGTTCAACAAATGATTCCAACTATGTCCACCAAACTGCACTTGAGGAAAACTTACATGAAACAGAAAGTAAATCTCCTCTGATGTACAATAGCAAATCTGCTTCCCAGTTAAAGGACCCAAACCAAAATGAGCCCCATTTCAATTCTTCCATAAATGCCAAAGAATTAATAGAGGCATCAATGTAAAAATCCATCCAACAAATTTACTATGAGTCTTTAGTAACCACCAAGAAAAATAATTACCGCAAATATAAGGGGAAGTATTAGAAATATGAACACCTGTCTGGAAAAAATTCCAAACAAAACCTGCTATATCCCCTGAAGTGAAGATATGATTTAGTGTCTCCTAAATGAGCTGTAAACAACATGAAGGCCCAAAGACACTAAATTTATATAAGATATCATCTATAAGCAGCCTCTCTTTTAACAAATGGAAAAAAAGAAAATAAAATCTTAATAGAAAGATCTGACCGCCATGTCATTCCAAAAATAAAGGACTTTGGCCAAGGAGAACGCATCAACTCATAAGCAGAGGTTAATATATAATTTCCAGAAGAAACCATGACTATTGCACAACATCCTTTTGATTATACCAAGCTGGACTAAGGAAATTGGAGGATGAAACAATCAACTGGAACAGTAAATAAACTCTCAAGATATTAATAGAAATGAAATTGATGAATGGGGATAATCAGCTCAATGAATTATATTGATATAAGCCAATGAAGTTACAGAATATGGCGGAAAAATAGGGAAGAAGATGAAAAAGAATGAAGGAAACTTGAGAAAGGGGAAACGGATTGATAATGATCCCAAATATGTTGATTACAATCAATATTCTCTGTTCCATTACAACAACAAAATCTCCCTATATAAAGCTACTAAACTAATAACTAACTCCTAAAGCCTGCAATCAAACTTGGACATATGGCTATGCAGCTAAAGTTGTTGCAGGACCACTGCTATCCTCTTCATATTGTTGAGCTAATGATGCTGAGCTGATTTCCAGGAAAGCATGCTTTTGGAATTGCACTTCTTGTCTCTTTCTTCTTCCATTATCATGCCTTCTTCTTTGCAACTTCACGCTTCCAACTACTTGTGTACCAAATGCTAGTTAGCTTCATGACAATAGCTCCCCCTTTCAATAAATCTTGTCCTCAAGATTGAAATCTAGGAAGCTTCTGCTCGATATCTTCTGCATCTTCCCAGGTAGCCTCAAACAGGAGAAGTACCCTACCATTGCACAAGCCACTATACTACTGTTGCATTCTTTTTCTTAACAATCCTTCTATCCAAAATGGTTACAGGCTCCACCCTTAAATGTCCCTTTTCATCTGCATTAGGTAGCTGCAATATAAGTACAACATTCTGTCCCACTTTTCTTTTCAGCAAAGATACATGAAAAATTGGGTGTATCTTGGACTCAGCTGGTAGTTGAAGCTTATAAGCCATCTTCCCCACCTTCTGAACTATTTGATAGGGTCCATAGTACTTAGCTGATAGCTTGGAGTTCTTTCTCACCTGCACTAATGTCTGTCTATAAGGTTGCAGTCTTAAATAAACCCAATCCCCAACACTGAATTCCCTTTCAGTCCTCTTCTGATCAGCGTATATCTTCATTCTATTTTGAGCCTCTTGCAAGTTCCTCTTGAGTAGTTCATCTATCCTCTGCCTGTCCTTCAAGTGGTCTCCTACTGTGGCTACTTTTGAGTGTGAATAGGGCCCCAAAGCTAGTTGAGGTAGGGGCATCCCATACAATGCTTCAAAAGGACTCATGCGAATAGCTATATGATAAGAAGTATTATACCACCACTCAGCTAATGATAACCAGGCATTCAATCTCTTAGGTTCCAAATGTGTCATGCATCTTAAGTACATTTCTAGCACCTGATTCACCCTCTCAGTTTGTCCATCAATCTGAGGGTGATATGCAGTGCTCAGGCTTAGCTCTATCTCCAATAATGTAAACAATTCTGTCCAAAATTGGCTGGTGAATATCCTATCTTTGTCAGACAGCATGCTTAGAGGCATCCCATGTAGTTTGCAGACTTAGTCTAGGAAAATTCTGGCTACTGCAGGAGCATCAAATGGATGAGTCAAACTAATGAAATGAGCATATTTGGTGAATCTATCTACCACCACCATGATGGTATCCTTCCTTTCTGAGCTAGGAAGTCCTTCAATGAAGTCCATGGTAACATGGCTCTAGGAGTATTGGAGGGTAGGAAGAGGTTGTAATAAACTAGGATAGGTTGTATGTTTATCTTTGTATTTTCTGCAAGTGTCGTACTGCAGTATAATAGCCTTAATCTCCTCATACATTCCTGGCCAGTAAAACAGTTGTTTGGCCCTTAGATAGCTGGCTTGGATCCCAGAGTGTCCTCCCAGTTGTGAATCATGCATGGCAGTGATAATTTTTCTCCTAATTTCTCCACTTGTGCCAATAACTATTCTCTCCTTATGCCTGACTACTCCATCTTGGTAAGAGTGCTTTGGCATAGTGCCAGGTGTAAGTACTAGTTCACTGATTAGTTTCTAAACTTGCTCATCTCCCTGATAACTCTCCATCACCTCTTTCACCCATTCAGGGATAATGCAAGCTAGCTCTGCATACTCCCCCACCTCATTGCTTGCCCTCCTAGATAGTGCATCTGCGGCCACATTCTCATTCCATTTTTTATAGTGTATCTCAGAGCTCAATCCCAGTAGCTTAGTGAGCCATTTCTGCTGAAATGATGCGGTGATTCTCTGCTCCAGTAGATATTTAAGACTCTGATGATCTGTCCTAATGATGAAATGGTATGCCTCCACTTGGTGACTGCAGTTACAAGTGCTAGTAGTTCCTTTTCATAGATGGATAACCCCATATTCTTGGGTCCCAGACTTTGGCTTAGATAAGCAATAGGTCTTCTATCCTGCATAAGGACTACTCCCACGCCTCCATAACAAGCATCAATTTCTATTATAAATGGCCTGTTGAAGTCTAGTAAAGCCAGAATAGGAGTGCTGCACATGGCTAATTTCAACTTCTGAAATGCTTCCTCAGCTTCTTCATTCCAGTGAATTTCTCCCTTCCTTAGTAGTGTTGTAAGAGGCTTTGCTATTGATCCGTACCCTTCACAAACTTCCTATAGTGTCCACTCAATCCCAAGAACCCCTTCAATTGCTTCACATTTCTGGTTGAGGCCAATTCACCATGCTTTCCACCTTCTTAGGATATGCCATTACTCCTTCTGCAGTGATTATGTGTACCAAATACTCTATCTGTGTCTATGCAAATGAACACTTACTCCTCTTTGCATACAGTTGATTCTATCTTAAAATGCTCAGTACCTTTGCAATATGCTTTAAGTGATCTCCTAGTGATGAGCTATACACCAGGATGTCAGCAAAAAATACAACATATTTCCTCAACTGTTCTCTAAAAACCTGATTCATTAAACTTTGGAATGTGGTTGGGGCATTAGTCAAACCAAATGGCATGACCATGAATTCATATAGCCCTTGATGATTCCTGAAGGCAGTTTTATGTCTGTCTTCCACCTTGACTCTGATCTGGTGATAACCTGCTCTCAAATCAATCTTTGTGAAATACTTAGCTCTTTGCAACTTATCAATTAGAGGCATAGAAAACTTGTCTTTTGCTGTAGGTTCATTAAGTTGTCTATAATCCACACAGAATCTCCAACTGCCATCCTTTTTCTTGACCAGTAGCACAGGAGAAGCAAAGGAGCTATTACTGGGTTGAATAATCCTTATTTGCAACATTTCCTTCACTAGCTTCTGTATCTCTGATTTCTGTACATATAGGCACTTGTATGCCCTAATCTGAAAGGGTTTAACTTCCTCCTTCAAAGGAATTCCATGGTCATGGCTCCTGATGGGAGGCAATCCCTATGGCTCAACAAACACATCACAGAATTGACTCAGCACCCCTTCCATGTCTGCTGGAATCATATTAGGTGTTTCCTATTCCTTCTCTACCACAAACAACTGAGCAGTGATTCCATACACTTGTTTTTTCTTCCATTTATCTAGTCTACTCCTCTTGATAACTTTAAGTGTCAATTCCCTAGATTCCCCTCTTAGTTCCACCAATTCTTTCCCTTTGTGAAACTTCATGTTCAGTCCCTTGAAGTCAAATTCAATAGGACTATATTTGGCCAACCAATCAACCCCCAACACAATATCATAGCTCCCTAACCTCAAGGTGTTAAAGTTGTGTTGAAATTTATGTCCGTGTACCTTCCATTCTAGAGGCTTATTGAGTTGTCTAGATTCCAACCTCTCACCATTAGCTACTTTAACTACCAGTGGGGCTCCAGTCATCTGTAGTTGAAGGTGTATAGCTAATTTTTCATTAGTGAAACAATGAGTGCTACCACTTTCTATTAGCATCAAAACCTCTTTCCTTCCTAGGTTTCCTCTCAACTTGAAGGTTCTATGCTCTTTCCCTCCAGCAAGAGCATGAATGGATACTTCTATGTGCTCATTACTCAGCTCTCCTTCAAGGTAATCATAGAACTCCTCAACCCGCTCTCCTATTTCTCTAGTATGTTCCATCATATCAATAGGCTCATCCACTAGGATGTATTGTATTTGAACTTGCTTGCAGACATGTCCTAGGGTGTAAGGTTCTGCACACTTGTAAAACAACCCCTTCTCTTGCCTATAATTGAATTCTGTTAAGGTGATTTTCCTGAACTGATCTGTTGAAGGTTCTCTTATCTTGTTTCCCTTGCTGTAATTAGTTCTAGGTTTCTTAAAGCTTTCATTAGGCCATTTGTATTTGGTCTGGGATGCAGGGGCCTGCCTATTAACCACTTGGGAGGTTGAGTTAATGGAGTATTTCTGAGTTATAGGTTTCTGTGTTTTCCTAATAGCCTCCAAGTTCTTTTCTTGTAGTTGAGCAACTTCTATAGTATCTACCAGAGTGTGTGGTTTGGCCATTTTTACCATATTTACAATTTCATCTTTCAAGCCACTTAGAAAACATGATTTGTAATATGAATCAGATTGACTAGGATGTAGAGGCATTACCAGTGATTTCAGCAGTTCAAATTTCTCCAAGTACTCAGCTACACTCCCAGTCTATGTTAACTTATTGAATTCTTCTATAGTCTCTTCTGGTGAGTCCCCTCCAAACCTTGCACACACAGTCACAGATAACTCTTCCCAAGCAATTGACTCTCTCCCATGGTACATCCCATGAAACCAGATATCTGCCTTATGTAAGGACCCGAAAAATTATTTTATACTTTATTTTATTTCTTTGAATGCATTTTCTTTACTTTAATTATTGCTTTAATTTCCTAGATATTTTTATAAGTGAGTCAAGTTTTAAAATAAATTTTTTTTATAAGTTAGTGCATGTTAAGTTCGTAGTGCATTATTGAAATGGGACCCACTAGTGAGGTGCGTAATAAATTTAGTGAACAAAAACGGGTATTTTTTACTAGAAGGATTATGTGATTAGAAGTGTTACGAGTAGATTAGAGGAAAATTATATAGATTAGCCATTAGAGACAAAGGAAAGACAAGAGGATAAGCTTGAAACCCTATGGCGACAAGTGTCAGCCATCCCTTCAACCTTTGACCAAGACTTCTTTAGCCTTTATCTTGAAATTTTGGGTTAAAAATCAACTCATTTTTGGTTTCTCTTGGTCAAACCTCTCTTCAAGCGAAGAAAGAAAGAAAACTCCATTTCCAACACAAAAGCCTTGCTTGATCCTTGAGTTTTCAACTTAACCTTGCAAATCAATCCATAAAAGCTGATTTTGAGGTAGGAGGAGGAACTTTGGTGGAGACTTTTTGGAGGAGGAAGCTTATGGCAGCTTGGTCCTCTTCGAGTTTCAAGGTAACAAAGTCTAGAAACCATCTCTTGTCATTTAACTTGCTTTTGAGTGAATTTAAGGGTTAATTATGGTGGAATTCATGGAAAAATTTCATGGTTTATGTGGTGAATCAAAATTTCCAGATTTGGTTGAGGATTTTCAGCTTTGATGAGTTCATTTCAGTTGTGTTATTTATTAGCATTAGCATATGATTTTCCAGCTTTCCAATGCTTCTTTGACTTTGCTATAGAAATTTCAGCTTGTGATGAAGAAATTACAGCTTAGGGTTTGTGATTTTGCAACTTTTGTAGGCTGAGATATGAATTGGTTATTTGTGTGTTTTGACTAGCTTTATGGCTTAGAATTACTACCCTTTATAATCTGGAAATTATAGCCTTGATTGTGGTAGATTTGCTAAGAAGTTGTGCTTTGTGATTTGGTGGAAAAATTGAGGGAAAACAGGGAAAATGCTGTTTGGATTGTAGTAGCTTGTTTCTCTTTAATTGTGGGGTGTATTTGTGGTGATTTTTGTCTAGGGTTCTTGGTAAAATCTTATGCCCTACTGGTATGTTGAATTTGAGTTAATTTGAAGACGCTTTATTGGTATTCCTTTGGTTTTTTCTAAGCTGTCTTAATGCTGGCCAAACTCGATGCTTGCTGGCCGAATTGAAGGGCCATCTTACACCTTGTTTTTTCAACCTTTTTATGATGAGTTTTGGACAAACCTTGCTTCAAACCCTGGTTAATACTTTGGTGTGCTGATCTTGTGTGAAAACTATGAATTTTGGGAGGTGAAAATCTCATGTTTGTACTTGTTTCATTGCTGAAGTTTCGGGTATGCTGGGCAGTTTTATACCTTGCTGTTCTTTGGCCTTTAAGTCTGCTGGTTTGGGGTCTTATGGACTAAATCTTGCTAACTTTACTTGCTAAAACCTTGCACTATAATGAGGTGTGGAATTGGAGTGAATTTCATAATTTTGAGGAGGCAAACAATCTCTTTCTTCACTGTTTTGTAGCTGGAAATTTCCAGTAATGACCTAAAGTGGGGGAACTCTTTGGTTAATCATATTTCTAGGATCCAAATACTTTCTTTTCACTCCAAAACCTTACTTGAATCATTGTCCTAGAATACACTTGGATTTTCCTTGATTTGCACTTTCAAATTTGTCCTTGAACCTTGTGTTGGGAGAGGCCAACTTGGATAGGTGTATGGCTCATAGTTGAGCCTAACATGTGAACTTTGTTCACCTAAGTTCTAGATGGTTATACCATAATATTTTATCTTGGTTGCTCTTAGGGTTGACGGTGCATACGCAAATAACCTAGAGACGAACATTTAACATTGCTCTAATTTGAACTGGTGAGTGTTCCAATTGCATGTTCCATGCTCATTGTTGCTAGAAATTGCTAGACACATGATTTGTCATTTCATAGGTGAGTGTGTACTTTATCGTAATTGACCTAACTTGACTAAACTCTTGATATCTCATTTATGCATGTACAAGTAACTTGATTTGCATGTGGCCTATATCTTGACTTGAAGTGCTTGAAAATATGACATGTTGAACACTACTTGTGACTTGATCATGACTAGGTGAGTGTGTTCTTATTCGCACTCGACCTCCATGAACTTGAATTACTTGATCCTGCGTGCGGGCTTGCATATACATGTGCATGATTGTAGATTGGTTGTATATCTTTTTGCAGCGGTTGAACTGGGCCCTTGGACCCTTATCCGAGAAGTCGGTGAAGTGGAAATTTGGGTTACTCATGCATATGCGTGAATGTAGGTTGGTAACGGCTGAACTGAGTCCTCATTGGACCTCTTGCTTGAGACCAGCCTTGGAGCGGTCGGGTAAGTTGGGTAACCTTGGGTAAAGGACGAAGTTCCTAACCTGTTTATTTCTAACTTGAATTCGAGTCATGCCTGAATACGGAGCGTTAGGTGACAGCTAATGTCTCCAATCATTACCTGCGTGAGCGTTGGATGATAGCCAACGACTCTAATCTTGAATACTTGAATATTTGGAGCTTTAAACCCAAATATTGAATACTTAAATCCTTGGAGCCCAGATCTTGAATACTTGAATATCTGGAGCTATAAACCCAACCCAGGGCTAGTTGGTCGAATTGAGCTGGCAAGGGTTTGGTCGAGGAGATTGACGAACCTTGGGTACTTGATTGGCATTCAGACCCGGTAGGGGGATGATTAGTGGATGGAAATTGACGTTTAGTGGTGATCTACAGACATTAAAATTCTATGGTTGACGAAGAGTCAACGGACCCTGGACAAGTTGCCGTGGAATCTGCTCCTGAGAGCAGCCTATATCCTTTGCCATGAACTTGTTCATTTACTGTATACTATTGCATGATCTATCTGGTTACCTGCTTTACTATGTATTATGTCCCGTTCTATTCGGGTTTGACATAATGGTATCATGCCTGTTAGTTTACTTGCCCGTTTTCTTGGAACCTCACTGGGTTTCTAGTTCATTCCATGAATTTTGTTTTCCTTACAGGGGTGAGAACATGAGAGTGGGAGTGGACAAGGCATAGTCTTTGTCTAAGATTTGATTAGTCGCTCGCGTGAGCACTCCTTAGCTCTCTAGCGAGCTTGCTTGGTTTTATTTTATAAGCTTGACTCCTTAGCTGTATTTAGAGATTGTATGGATATTTGATGTCCACGGTTGTATATATCTAAGGTTGTAATTATTATTGCTCTTATTATTGAGATTGTTATTTTGTAAATTTCGTGGTACATGAGTGAGTCCTAATGAGAGTTGGGCAGGCGGTTCGCCAAACCCTTGGGTACGCCCTAGGGGAAAGTGGGGTCATCACACCTTATCCCTGAAATACAATTGAGCCATGTCAAATTTCAACTATGCTACTCCCTGTATCTGGAAATATTTGTTTGCCCTCCTAACCCACTCTCTAGGATTATCTCCATCAAATATAGGAAAGTCTATCTTAGTTAATTTTGCTCCTCCCTTAACTTTCAGTTTCTCAGTCCTTCCCCTCACCAGATCCTTCCTCTGGTCACCCCAAAAGCTATTTCCTTCTTCTCTCTTTCCATTGTCATTTAGTTTGGCCATCATCTGAGCCATTAAGGACATTATGCTCTCATATTTTTTATACAAGTTCTTAATGGCCTTCTTAATGCTTTCCTACCTATGCTCCATTATTCTCATAGCCTGCTTTAACCCATGATTTCTATTTGCAAAAGTCCTTACACTCCCCAGTTCAGTTAAGTCCTTCCTCAGCATCTCCTCCTGCGTTTTAGTCATCCTAATGGCTCGTAGCTAGTTCTGATACCACTGTGATGATACTAAGCTGGACTAAGGAAATTGGAGAATGAAACAATCAACTAGACTAAGAAATGAAATTGATCAATGGGGATAATCAACTCAATGAATTATATTAATATAAGCCAATGAAATTACAGAGTAGTGGGAAAATAGGAAAGAAGATGAGAAAGAATGAAAGAAACTTGAGAAAGGGGAAACATATTAGGGATGATTCCAAATCTATTGATTACAATCAATATTCTCTATTTCATTACAATAGCAAAATCTCCCTATATAAAGCTAGTAAACTTATAACTAACTCGTAAAGCCTGTAATCAAACTTGGACACGTGGCTATGTAGCTAAAGTTGTTGTAAGACCACTGCTATTCTCTTCACGTTGTTGAGGAAGAGAAAGGAAGGGTGATAGACACGGGCAAGGGACGATAGACAAAATTTGGTCCTGAATTGGAGAAGGAATATTAGACAAAGAGGAATGGGCGACGAGAATTTGGGCAAAGAGGAAAGTGGAAGAGAGAGCAAGATAGAAGAGAAGAAGCGTGAGAGAGAGGATAAATCGATTTTTAGTTTTTCTTGAAATTTTTGAAATATTTTCAAAAAAAGTGATTAAGTATCCTATATAGAGATAGTAGAGTGCTTTTGTAGTAATAGGGAGGTATGTGCAATTTTGAAACATTGAGGAGAGTTTCATAAAATTGTCAAAAACCTCCCCTAAGGCTTCTGAAATTATCCCAAATTGCATTTAATTAAATGTATAACCTATCATATTCAACCTCCCATTTTATGCCCTAATAGTGTATCTTGTACACTAAG